AATAATGAGTCTGATATTTGGCATTCAGGACTCTGTCATATTAACTTTGGTTGCATGACGCGGTTAGCCAATATGAATTTAATTCCGAAAATCTCTACTGTCAAAGGCTCCAAGTGCCAAGTATGTGTGCAAGCTAAGCAACCTCGCAAGTCCCATAAGACTGCAGAGGCAAGAGACTTGGCGCCACTAGAGCTTATACATTCTGATCTTTGTGAGATGAATGGCATGTTGACAAAAGGTGGAAAGAGATACTTCATGACGTTGATTGATGACTCCACTAGATATTGTTATGTGTATCTTCTGAAATCAAAAGATGAGGCTTTGACTTTCTTTAAAAACTATAAAGCTGAGGCAGAGAACCAACTTGATCGAAAAATTAAACGGCTTAGGTCCGATCGTGGTGGAGAGTATTTTTCCAATGAATTTGATCTGTTTTGTGCGGAACATGGTATAATACATGAGAGGACGCCTCCCTACTCACCCCAGTTAAATGGGGTAGCCGAAAGAAAGAACCGAACTCTAACTGATATGGTTAACACCATGTTAGACACTTCGGGTCTATCCAAGGAATGGTGGGGGAGGCGCTAATGACTGCGTGTCATGTCCTAAACCGAGTTCCCACAAAGCATAAGACCATGACTCCATTTGAGGAATGGGAAAGGAAAAGGTTGAAACTCTCTTACCTACGTACTTGGGGTTGTTTGGCGAAATTCAATATACCAATTCCCAAGAAGCGCAAGCTTGGACCAAAAACCGTGGATTGTGTTCTTCTGGGCTATGCTTTTCATAGCATCGGCTATAGATTTTTGATAATAAAATCTGAGGTATCCAACATGCATGTTGGTACGATTATGGAATCAAATGATGCAACTTTCTTTGAGGACATATTTCCTATGAAGGATATGTCGAATTCATCAAATCAGGAGATACCTACTCCATCTAGTGAGGAATTCACTGTAATTCCTGAACCCACCATTGCGATGGAACACGTTGAGAATTCTGTTGAGGGTAACAATGGAACTCCTATGAGGAGTAAGAGACAGAGGACTGCAAAGTCTTTTGGTGATGATTTCATTGTGTACCTCGTGGATGACACACCCAGGACTATTTCAGAAGCCTATGCATCTCCTCATGCTGACTACTGGAAGGAAGTTGTACGTAGCGAGATGGATTCCATCTTAGATACGGTACCTGGGAGATCACTGACCGTCCTTGTGGGTGCAAACCTGTAGGATGTAAGTGGGTGTTCAAGAAGAAGCTTAGACCTGATGGTACGATTGAAAAGTACAAGGCACGGCTTGTGGCCAAGGGTTATACCCAGAAAGAAGGTGAAGACTTCTTTGATACTTACTCACCCGTGGCTAGACTGACCACAATTCGGGTGCTACTATCACTGGCTGCCTCACATGGTCTTCTCGTTCATCAAATGGACGTTAAGACGGCTTTCCTCAATGGAGAGTTGAAGGAGGAAATTTACATGGATCAGCCAGATGGTTTTGTAGTACCTGGTCAAGAAGGAAAGGTGTGCAAGTTATTAAAGTCTTTATATGGCCTTAAACAAGCTCCTAAGGAGTGCCACGAGGCCTGACATCTCTTTTGCTGTGAGCAAGCTGAGTCGGTTTGTGTCAAAACCGGGAGATGATCATTGGCATGCGCTTGAGAGAGTTATGCGCTATTTGAAAGGCACCGCGAGCTATGGGATTCACTACACCGGGTATCCAAGGGTACTGGAGGGTTATAGTGACTCAAACTGGATATCTGATGCTGATGAGATTAAGGCCACAAGTGGTTATGTTTTTACACTTGGTGGTGGCGTTGTTTCCTGGAAGTCTTGCAAGCAGGCCATCTTAACGAGGTCAACTATGGAAACAGAACTCACAGTATTAGACACTGCCACTGTTGAAGCAGAGTGGCTTCGTGAACTCTTGATGGACTTACCTATGGTTGAAAAACCAATACCCCCTATCCCGATGAACTGTGATAATCAAACTGTGATCGTCAAGATAAACAGTTCTAAGGACAATATGAAGTCCTCAAGGCATGTGAAGAGGAGACTAAAATCTGTCAGAAAATTGAGGAACTCCGGAGTTATTACGTTGGATTATATCCAGACGTCGAAAAACTTGGCAGATCCCTTCACAAAGGGTCTATCACGTAATGTGATAGATAATGCATCGATGGAGATGGGTTTGAGACCCACCTCATGAGTTGTCCATAGTGATAACCCACTCTATGTGATCGGAGATCCAGTGAAGTAGAAGTGGGAGACAAGCTGTTGGTCAGCTAGGAGGAGAGTATCCCTATATTAATTATCCCACTCCGTGAAGATGCAATACTCTCCTGATCTGCATGGCAGGTTGATACTTATCTTAATGTGTTCCAAGTGGCTTATTCGGGTAAGCAGAGATGTTGTCCTGCATAACATCTTCTGAGGAACACACCTATATGAATTTGACTGTTAACGTCGCAGTCTGTGAGAATTGGGTGTTCTCTGATAAATTCATGAAAGGCCCTGGAGTATGACGTATACACTCCACCCGTGGGGAAGCCTTGCGGCAGCCCAATATCGGTCAAGAATTTGTGTGAAACTAGTTTCACAGAAAACTTGTAGTTCAAGGCATAGTCCACTATTCAAGTTGTGATCTAGTGTAGCATAAATTTCTAAATGGAAGTTCAACTTCATAGTCTTCATTAAGCACCGATATATAAAACAATGTTTTGAAACTAAATGATGAGATGTGCCAATGAGACTTTGTGGGGGATTGTTGGAATTTTGCTAGTAGGTCTTTGGCCCAAAGCCCAACTAAAATTCTGAAATTCTCTTGGCCCATTCATGCACACATGTGAGTGGAGTGAGTGAGGCTAAAGTTTAGTCCCACCCCGGAAGTTGAGAGAGAGTTACACCTCTTTATAAGGTGAGCTCTTCTACCACTTGTATGAGCATGAGAAGAGGAGACCTACACGCGCGCTCCTCCTCCTCGCTCGTCTCGCCACGCCACGCCACGCCTCGCCTCGCCTCGCCTCGCCTCGCCTCGACACGACGCGACGCGGGTTGCGGGATTGAGCCGAGCCAAGGACAGAGCTATGCACGTTGTCTATATTTTTGCTGCATGGGAAAATTAATGAGTCATTAATTAATAATTAACGGACGCGTTAATTACTGAACCGTTTCCGATTCTTTTGGATCGTGATGACTCGGACGTGGGGTTTACTCCCACGACCTACCCGGCCCGCACTATATAGTCAGGCAGACGTCTACCCTAGCCGCCGCCGCTCCAGATCATTGCGCCGCCAAGCAAGTCTTCTCCATCCCTCCTTCCGGCGTGCACCGCGAGAAGGGACAGCAGGCCTCCGGAACCCCGCCTCTTGTGATCCTGTACGGGAGAGGGGCGATCAGGTTTTTGGGGAGCGCACTCGCGCGACTGCTGGCAGCGACGACTTCGCAAACGACGACTTCTTCCCCGACCTCGGCAACCTCGTCCTTGACGACATGGGCGACAACGTCAACACCGGCGGTGCTGCACCCGCTGCATCGTATGTGATTCTATCATTCCTGTTCGAGATCGTGGTAGAATTCATGCTTCTAGTATGTGCACTAGATGTGATATGTTCATCTGCTATGCTAGTTCGCATGATTAGTTTAATCTCTGCTGCTGTGATCATGATTTATCTTCTGTTTATTCGGATTAAATCTCGTAGTAATTTGCTCATATTTCCAACAACAACGACACGAATATGTGTAGGTGTGGAATGGCGCTACGGCTTGTGGCGTCCATGGAATTGCCGCCATGGCTTGGTGCTTTGCTACCGCCGGCCTCGGTAGTTTCCGGCGACGTTCGATCCCCGTGTTCTGCGATAGTCTTGTGCTCGTATGCATATAGATTTGACCGGCCGCATGATATCCGCGTGACCCGTCAAGCATATGCACATGAGCGGCTACCACCAGGAACGAATGCCATGGAAAGGTTTGGATTTCAATTTCCCATGCCCATGGTGTGTTGGACCCCTTCCGTGACGCCTTCTTCTGCAAAGGGGGGTGACAGCGACACAAGGTGGCTTCGGCTTTGTGGTGCTGTTTTGAGTACCGAGTATCCAGCTCCAAGGTGAAAACTCTAGGTCCGATCTTTGATAGTTGCGCTTGGCAATGACGGTGCTTTACCCGTTGTGTTCTTGTTGAAGGCACTGTTTTAAAGTCTATTCAGACATACTATCTGGATGAAAACCCAAGACATGACATATAGTGGTTGGATCCCGCGACGGGGTGTACACTTTTACTTGTATTGTTGTTTCTTCATCAAAAGTGGGCATGACAACCGATGTGTGCCGGTCTTAGGAGCAATGGAGTGAAATGAGTCATTGGTCCATTTACTCAATTCGATTGCACAGTTTTAAAAATCTCAATCTGATCACACACTTTAGGCCAATAACTTAGTAAGTGGTTTAATTTAGGTCATAAACTCGTTTATTTGATCAAATAAGGCCACAATCGGTTCACGAGGGAAAACTCGACCACGTGGGTGCCACATCAACCTACCTTGACCGCTCGTAAACCGACTAACTCTTACGAGGGTCTTATTGCAACAACGCCGACATGATCTGAGCAGCATATCGCGGATGTGTGCCAACAAGGATTAATGGCACATTTCACTTGGGGCCATGCTATAATTTTTGCTTGTTTGGAATACCCTTTTCTACGGTGGGTTCAACTACCGCTAACAATGTGCCTCATCTGTCCGCAAATGTTTCATGAGATCTTACATTGCACACAGCAAAAACTAGCATTAATTCATTGTCTACGCAAACAAATATCTATGTACAATCGGACAGCTCGAAGGGAAATTCCTCCATCCTTCGCTAGTAAAACGGCATGCGGGTCTTATCATCTCTACTTCTCTTCTCCTCTTCTCCTCTATCAGAATTCAGAAACATGCCGTATTGGGATGCAAAGGTTTCTTCATTTGGTACTCTGCTTGCAGTACCCGGACTTTGGAAGCTTCTGCTCAAGATGGTGGGAAGAACCTGTTGAGGTTGAAGGGGAGGGTGTAAAACTCTTCGTTCCTGCTGTCCCCTCGGAATGTCCGGAACCGCTCCCACCATTGCATCCCCCTGTCCTTCGCCGCATCTCTGACATCTAGCGTGTTGTCAAGGACTACAGCAATGATGAGAGCGACAGTCGGCGGGGACGCGAAGATGGTGTTGATGTAGTCATTGAACTGCATCGAAGGTCAGGGATGATACAATTCAAACTCAATTTCAAAATGATGCAAAATAGGACTCTTGCATGGAGATGAGAGACATTTTGACAACATTGACAAGGCACTATTAATGTATGAGTAGATTTGAACATGAACTTTCTGCAATGTGGTGTACAAGCTGTGCATCATCTTTGCTGTATTAAACTAGTGTATGAGTTAATACTTCATACTACATATTAACTTCCTAACATTTTACCATCAGTTAAGTTTGTGTTATTATTTTGTGCCAGATACTAGATTGGACATTTTTGCAAATGTCATTTCAAATTCAAATCTCGAGACAGGACTTGTGGGAGTCCATACTAGTACAAATTAGGGGTGTGGGGGTAAGTGACGTTACGAACCCATCCAGCCTTCGTGTGCGCCGGGCCATTTTGAGCACCTGTCAGATACCGAGAAAAGTACTCTGGTATCGATAAGCCAAGAAAGAGTGAAACACCAACGATGAAGAGGTTGCGCATAGAGTTCATGTTGGTGAATTGTAGGAAGGATAGCCCAACCGCCGCTGGAGACACAACAAACGAGCAAAATTATTCGTGCTATTCAAATCTAGCTAGAGAACTCAGGAAACTACAAAGGAAAACATCTTCCACTTTTCCTGCTAGGATACTTACCAATAATTCCAAACATAACACAGTATATGGCTGCGAATATTGTAAACGGAATGGAAGCAAAAAGTGCCCCGAATTTTCCTACAACACCGACATGTTCAGAACCCTGAAAAATCCAATGCAAATGCGTGCTCGTGGCTCAAGAGAAACCTTAATTACCTAATATGGAGAAGAAGATCATGAAACCAGCAGAAATCTGTATCACTCTCCTGCTGCCAATCCTTGTAGACCCAAGAAGACCAACATTCTCACTGCATTGCATCCAAAAATTCTGCATAATATTAGGCATGCCACAACAGAACATTCTTAGAGTGAAAGCTCAGATGCACTCACACAGAAACAGTAGAGCCAGTCGCAGTGCCAAATAGCCCATCCAGTAGGGTACCTATTCCCTGAATGCACAGTCATCATGCATTGTAAAGTTTCATTTCTTTTCAGAAAAGCTCAGTGGTGACTAGGGAGTAGTTCTACAAGACTACAACCGTAAAAAACCAAATCACTGACAATTCTAGTTGATACTCAAATTCATGAGAACTACTGGACTTAACATATTAACAAAACTCTACAAGATGATAGGAGAATGCAGCCACTAACCTGCCACCCGATGCCTCTACTGAGGACATATGCTGGTGGGGGTGTTGCACTTGCCAACCGGGCAGCAGCCTTGAATGCGCCAGTTGACTGAAGAACTCAAATGGTTTCAACCCAATCAGGTGGATATAAAAATATTGAGAAAATCTTCGAGAAATCATGTATTCGACAAGTATGAGATGGTACCTCTATTAGCGACACCATCACTGCAGCCATCATGCCGAATGCATGGTCTGCATTGAATGTTGGTGCCCCCCATTGCAAGGGATATGGGATGCTTATCCTTATGAGAGTAAAAAAATTAAACTGAGATATGTAATATGATGTGGAAATGAACAAATGATATGCAAGCCGGTTTACAAACCATAATGCTGAAGAGATAAGGTTAGAACGGTCTGTCCTGCAACTGATCTGGGTGTGCAGTGCAGTGTGATGATATGCACCACCTGCTGTTAGAATGTGGGCATAGACCCAGACAAGAGCAATGCACACCAGCAATGAGAACCTCTCCAAAATCGGAACATGCCGAACATGTACATGCTTGAGATATTGGGAAAACACAACAAATAGGATAAGCATCGGAAGGCCAATCTCCACACAGCTTGCAACCTGACAAAATATCCTTCCTGAATTAACTCAGTATAGGACAACATAAATCTCATGGTGCTAAATGTTTTTACAAGAAAAAGAAGGCAAGTTAACAGAGTAAGAGATCTTGCCTGAGTAAATATGAACAATTATTAACTTTATAAATAATAGAGGTAAACTAAGAAAATAAACATATTTTCAGTGACATTGAAGATTGCTCCAGGAACACTTTAAAATATACTAAAACAGACAGAAATGATCTGGTACTGAGTGCATCTTACCATATGTAGCAATAAATATTATCTATTGGCTAGTGTTGCTAAAGTGCCAATCAATAAGAGATCCATGCTCCAAATAAACTTTGGTATACAAGTAAACAATACATAACTATATTATCAAACTAGCAAGGTAGGCCATGCAACTCAGAGAATGTTTAAAATTGTACTTCCTCCGTTAACAAATATATGTTTTGGATATTTCAATGCGGACTACATACGGACTGAAATGAGTGAACAAACACACTAAAACGTGTCTATATACATCTGATTTACAAAAAAGTTAGAACATCTTATATTTGTGAACGGAGGGAGTAAGAAATAAGTCGCTGGGGCCCCATTCTCCAGTGTGATCAGTTTCAAACATCAAAGTGACTAGAGCTAAACAGAACAAAAGTAAGGCCACTAGAGCTTTTACCACTGGGAATCCTCTCTCGAAAAGGCCAAGCCCCACCAATGAAACCACTGGAACCATCCCAAGTGGGCTAAAGAACCTGCAACAAGCATATCATACTGTTAATGTTCTTATTCTTGTCTTCGATGCGAAGGTAGTTACCATGTTCCAACAGCTTTTGGATATTTTTGCCCACCCTTTGTTTAACACATCGGCATATTACGCTTTATCTAAAGTGACCCCCACTATTCAAACTGATGGGCACATAAAGTGGACGGATAACGGAGGGTGGCAGGGACCAGGATAGTATATAATAAAAAAGCAACAACAAATATCCACAATCGCATATTTGGTCCAGTATATGAACACATGTTAATATGACATGCTAATTGCTAAAATTCAAGCAAATAATCTGTCAGGTTGAGTATAAGATTTTTAACACACTAAGATTCTGACATGAGCCAAGAAATAAATGTTTAAACTTTTGGACTGAAAATTCTAGCAGTTAAAGGAGAAGTGGGAGTTTCTTGTACCTCGAACATATTGCCCACAACTGGCTATAGCCAAGAATTATCTGAATGCTTGACGACACTATCAACGCACCCTGTGTCGCTCTCATTGTCTGTAGGAACCTCTGCAGATAGAACAAAAAGGTAAACTGAAATGTATAACATGGATGTTTGCATCAGTGAGATGGCGTATTCGAGTTGCCATGATTCTTGTTACAAGACAGAAAATGTAGAAGAACATTTTAATACTTACGGTATGGCCATCCGCTATTTGTGCAAGCGATCGGTCATGGATTATGGAGAGGACTGGAACAACATATGCATATGAGCCGCCAATGACAGTGGGAAGGCGAGTGCCAAATAGTGTCTGGAGCAGTGTCTTTATCCCAGTCACAAATAGCAGTGTCTGAACCACTTTCGCCTTGTCATGCTTTGGTAAACACACAAACAAACAACATTTTTTCAGTAAAAAAAATAATATGTTGTACCAAATTAACCAAGGAGTGCAGCAAACATGAAAAAGGGGGAGAAAGTTCTCACATCATTTCCACCCATTAGAGGAACCAACATTGTGGGGATCATCACAGCAGTTCCCAGGGACAGTATGTAATGCTGGAACCCCAAACCAATTGCCTCTCCTGCGAGACCCACAAATATTCAGGGTAAGAAACAGATACCGATTGATCCAACATGCCAACGGTTGAGAGATGAGATGGCACAGACCCCAGGAAGGATTCGAGTCTATGCAGTACTCAAACCCCTGCAGCTGATCCATGGGCGGATGGTGGACCATCTCTTCCGGTTTTACTTCAGCCATTTCCCAGTCGAACTGTTCCTCTGCTCAGGATGAACAATCTTTTTCGCTTGGTTGATTGAAAAGGGGAGAGGGGAAAGGCAGCAGAGATGCCCAAGATTTCCTCAGAAGAAAAATGTTAAACTGGAAACCCAGAACAAGATGAGAAGCAGAGAGCAGAGAGATCAAGGAATCCTCTCGAGGTCCCAAACCAGTCTGCAAAATGAACACCAATGATTTTGAGCTACCAATCGCCGGATCAGTTCAGCAACAACAAGAAGACTGAAGAAATAGTCTGTCACTCAAGATGGTCCCAAAGCAAAGCTTTGAGTGACAGAGCAAGCAAACGCATACCAGGAGCCCAAGGCGGAACGGATTGCGGGCCAACGAAACCACGGAGAACTACGGCAGATAGGACGGCGAGAGGGATGGACGGGTGCGAGAGAGGTCGCTGGGATGGGGGGACAAATGTCAGTAGCCGCAATGGGAATTTGGGCGAGGACGACGAAAGCGAACAAAGGCGGTTCTGCTGCCTGCCTGCCTGCCTGCGGTGTGCTTTAGTGATGCGGGATATATCAAAGGGAAAAAGACGGAAAAGGTCAAAAGAGGCAGCCATAAAAAGGCGCAGCGCGAGTGCGAGGGATGAGTGGGCACTGGCCAAGCTGCACTCCCTCTCGCTACGCTAAGCATCGGTTTCTTTCGGGGCGTTCTTCTCCCTAGGGTTTAATGGCGGATTGGCCCGTTGTGATTTCTGGGACGGAAATAGCCTCGGATCAGAGGTTTTAAGGAGGGGAGGCGCGTTGGCGTTGGGGCGCGGTGCGCAGTAAATTTTGGTGGGTGAAAGCCTGGCCGGAATGTCGGATTTGTCGCCCCGCGTTTATATTTTCCGTTTCGGTGTGGCGTTATCTTCAGAGGACACGTGCAATCTGATCCCCATTTCTTGCTAGAGGATGCTCTTTTATGTTGTACATATTTCTTTCTTAAATGTCATTCCGTATTGTTTAATTGCTCTTCTTGTTATTTGTGTGGCCTTTTCTGATGATTTTTGTGGCCTCGCAGTCATGGAGGTGCGGTGGTTCCTGGTCTTTGCCGATAGGAGGGTCATATTTTTTTTAAAGATTGTTTAGGTTTTGTGTCTGACTTAGAAAGATGAGGTGATGGTGACGACTTTCTAAAGATGGAATAAAGTTTTCTCCGCCAAGTTCCCATCCAATGATGCGTCCTGCGTTGTCAGAGGGCATATGGGAGTGTGTCTTTAGCGGATCTCGCGGGATTCCGTTGATGTTTGTGTTCGGTGGATTTGCGTGGATCTCGTCCTCTTTCGTCTGCGTTCATATGTAATACTTTTGATTTACGCTTTTTTTCATTGACGATGGTTGTTGTCGTCGTGCGCTGGTTCTTTGAGGCATTGATACGTCTCAAACGTATCTATGATTTTTTTATTGTTTTATACTATTATAATATCATTTTTGAATATTTTAATATCAATTTATATTATTTTTCTAGACTAACCTATTAATCCTGCGCTCAAAGTCAGATGTTGTTTTCTGTATGTTTTTATATTACGAAAATTTCATATATATATATATGAAGGTAAAAAACCTTGAGGGTTTAATACAATTTTTTTGCGTCACAAAGATTTCAAAAAGTACCGAGACCTTAGGGGGGAGCTAGGGACCTGCACCAGGTGGCCAGTTGGCACCCCACTGCACCGCCTTCCATCCATTCTTCCGCAATCGCCTCCTAGGTGTAAATATACATATTATGCAGTGTATATAAAAACCACATTCCAAAATGTAAAAAAATTCAAGAACATGTCCCACGTGAACATCCGGGCATCCTATGTTCACACACAAAATTTCGGTGAAAAAAGGACATTTTTTGTGGCATGTATAAAAATGATAAACAAATGCCTCGTGAATAGCTGTAATCAAGCATCGAAAATTGTCTTTTTTACACAAGCCACAAACAATGTCCCTTTTCATCGAAACTTGGTGCACACACATATAATGTTCGGATTTACGCGTGGGATTTTTTCTCAATTTTTTTAACCTTTTAGAATGTGTATTTAGACAATGGGTGCATATACACCTAGGAGCCAAAGTGAATTTCCGAATTTGATATTTCGCGAAACCCCCCTAAACAATTTTGTACGATTTTCTCCACCGCCGCAAATTTCTGCTCCGAGGGGAGGCCTGTTTCGGCACCCTGTCGGAGGGGGAATCCACACCAGGGGCTTCTTCATCAACCTTGCTATCTCCAAGACCATGTGTGAGTAGTTTCCTTAGAACCTTAGGATCCATAGCAGTTGCTAGATGGCATCTTTTGTCTGTGATTCAATACAAAGTTCTCATGAGCTGCATCACATGGTCGGGATGCATATGATGTAATCAGTGATGTGTTTATTGGGATATGATGAATTGTCACTTTATGATCAGATTGTTAATTTAAATAAATTAAAATTTTCAAAGTTTCTTTATTGTTTTGTTGAATAGCTTTGTATGCTGTGATGCCCGGATAATTAAGCTACAGTAACCCTCTGCTAATGATGCCACGTCACCTCGATTACTGATGTTAAACTCGCATTGATTCAAAACCCTTTTGAAATTCAAATTTTAAAATAAAGTCAAACGGTAAAAGTTTTCAAAAGTCAAATCTAAAATGTTCAAGTGTAGCAAATAAATCATAGATGGTTTATTGTGGTGAAACCAACTTTTCTTATAATGTTTAAATGCACAAAACAACCAAGCAGTGGGCAAAATTAATTATTTTAATGCCTTATATAAAGTAATAATAATATAGCTAATTTGGTAGTATGCCAAAATATTATAGCAGTGGACAAATTAGTATTATTAAATTAGGTGCTCATTGGTATTTTATAAAACTAGTAAAAAACAGAAAACTAATAAAAAAAGGAAGAAGGGAGCCCCCCGGGCCGTCCGCCCAGCTGGCCGCCAGGCCGACTAGGCCGGCCCATTCCCGCTTCCCCTTATCCCCGTAACCCTAGCCCACCACCCGCAACGCCTCCTACTCCCTCCCTCCCCCCCGATCCCCACGCTCCTCTCCTACCCCGATCTAGATCGGGATCGGGGCACTCGCCCCCGACGCCGCCGGCAGGTGCCGCCCCGGCCACCAACGTCGACCACCGCCACCTGCTGGACCGATGCCACCTCACCGGACGCCTCCCCGCCTCTCCCTCGACGGCCCGCATCAAGCCACGCCGCCCCGACCTCAACGTCGTCGCGCCATCCTCGACCTCCTCCTCGTCAGACTCCGTCGAGCCTCACCGGCGAACCCCTGCAACGGGGGTGATGACACCGAACCACTCTACCTACCCCCTTCTCCCCTGTGCCCGTCGCTAGAGCCGCCCCGCCCGCTGTCCGTCGTGAGCGCGCTCCGGCCGCACCCTGCCTAGCCGCACCCGTGCTCGCACCCGCCCGCGCAGGCCCACGCCACGCCCGGTTCGCGCAACGCGCGCGCCCGCCTACGTCGGTGCCTCTCTCGCTTGCGCGCCTGGACACGACCACGCTGCTCCGCGCCGCATCGCCGCCCTGCGTCGTCCCCCCTGCTGGCCGCGCCATGGCCGGCCCCAATGCACCGGCCATCGCCCCGCGCTGCCTGCGGCCACCTCCGCCTCTGCCTTGCCATCGCGTTGCACCGCCGCGCTCCACCTCATACGACCCGCGGCCCTCCTCCTCGTCTTGCCACCGCGGCTCCGCCGCCCCCCCACCGCGTTGCTGCTCCGCGCACCGCGCCGCTCCCCTCGTCGCCTACGCCGCGCTCCTGGCCGGCGTTTGCCGCTGGCCTCGCCTCGCTTCCCCTCGCTCGGGCGCCCGCAACCGCGCCCCAGCGCCCGACGCCAGTGACCCACCGCCCGTTAGCGCCTGTGGCCCTATGACATGTGGGGCCCCAACCCCCCAGAATGTTTATTAAAAAAGATTTAAAATTAAAATAAATAAATAAACAATAATTTAATTAATTAATTAATTAATTAAGTTAATTAATCCTATTTAATTAATCTAATTAACCTATTAGTTTAATTAAACTAACCCTAATTAACCTAATCAGTGAATGACAGGTGGGTCCCACGGGGCCCACACGTCAGGTTGACTAGGTCAACGGTTAACGTTGACCGCTGACGTCATGCTGACGTCAGCATGCACTGTTCTGGATAATGTTGATTTTAAATAATTAAATAAATCCGTAAAATGATTTTAAATCTTTTAAATTTAATATAAAATAGGCCGTAGCTCGGATGGAAAAACTTTGTACATGAAAATTGCTCAGAACGACGAGACGAATCCAGAGACGCAACCCGTTCATCTGCCACGCATCCCTAGCATAGCGAACACGCAACTTTCCCCCTCTGGTTCATCTGCCCGAAAATGCGAAACACCGGGAATACTTTCCCTGATGTTTTCCCCCTTCGCTGGTATCACCTCCTACCGCGTTAGGTCACCCCTAGCACCACGTATTGCCATGTTATGCTTTGTGTTGCTTTGATTGCTCTATTACTTACTTGTGTCCCCCCTCCGTTACTTCTTTCCGGTAGACCTTGAGACCGCCGCCGATACCCTGTGATCGACTACGTCAACGATGAACCCCCCCTTCTTGCCAGAGCAACCAGGCAAGCAAACCCCCCTTGAGCATTCCTATAGTGCCCATTTCTTTCCCTCTCATGCTTGCATTAGAACTGCTACTATTTTCAGTATGATCCTACTTTGATGCATAGCCTGTTTTTGTTACCTGCTTATTGTTACCTTACTTGCTTATCCTAAACTGCTTAGTATAGGTTGGTTAGTGATCCATCAGTGACCCCCACCTTGTCCTAGTTGCCTCGCCTTATGTTCAATGACTCGATCAACATGATTGACGACCAGGCCCCGGCACCGCACATCACTTTCCCCTAGTTGTACGACTCTGCAGAGTTACCATCGAGTGCCGATGGTGGAACCTCTTACATCACTCCTGATGAGATCTCTATAGTGTAGCTATACGGTCGAGGTCATCGAGGGTGATTTACT